TTACTTAAATCTTCACGTACACTGGCTATGGGTAATGCCATGTTAATTTGACTTGTTCCACAGCACGAAAAGCTGCAATTGGTTTTTGAGCTGTTGCTCGGAGCCTGGTATTTAATACTGAATGTGTCTTCACTGGTCTTTCAGGTCCAGCCAGCTTCGCTCTCACCTTAAACCCCATATCAAACAGCCACAGCTGTAGCAGAGCCCCAAGCCACGTCTTCTTAATTCAATTCAACGGCTTGTCACTGTGGGCAATGCTAGATAGAACATTATGTGAAAGGATAAACCTTTTCACTCTGCATTAGAAGAGCGGTTTTATCATTTATTTTTGACTTTGCCGGGAAAATAAATTAATCAAACTCTCCCAGCGTTATTGCCACGACCGTCTGGACTTTCCACTTATCTAATTATTAATCCTGTAATGCTTCCTCAGACATGGACTTGACAATTAGTAGTAAAAAAAGGAAATGTTGAAAAATTAGTTGTTTATTTTTAGAGCATTTTAGCGAATCTTGGCTGTGTGGTTGTTTTTTTTTTCTGTATTATGAAACCTTATTATTGCACAGTTATATGTTTACCATTTAAAGAGTGCTATTTAAAGAGCCATCATTTACTTGCCCTCGACTTGTTTCAAACAGTTTGAGTTTTTCTGTGTTGAACTCAAGTAAGATAGTTTGAGGAATGTTGGAAATCTGTAACCATTGGCATACATGGCAGGAAAGACAAGCATGAAAGTAATGCTTACAGGTTTCCAAAGCTCTTAAAAGATATATATTCTCTGACCACTTTGTTAGGTTGACCTTGCCAATACCAGGTTTCCTTCAGAACCAAGAAGCCTTTTTTTTCATGTTATAGATTTAAAAAAGTGCTGGAAATAGTCCTGAGAGATTTTGGTGAATGTTGACAATGATTGCATCATGGAGTTGTTGTAGATTAATGTGAATCAATGCTGTACCAGCACATCCCAAAGGTGCTTTATTGGATTAAAAGAGTAACTGTGAAGGCCTTAGAATATGAGTGGTGAACTGACTTTCATGTTCAATAAACCTGTTTGAAATGATTTGAGCTTTGTGACATGGCTGGAAGTAGCCTTTATGGAGTGGGTATATTTTGGTCCTAAAGGTATAGACATGGTCAGCTGCAATACTAAAATAGACTGTAGCATTTAAACAATGTTCAGTTGGTACAAAGGAGCCGATAGTGTGGTGTAAAAAAAAATTTTCCTCACACCGTTCCTCAGCCTGATCTGTTGATGTTAGGCCAGGTGGATCCAGGCTTTCAGGTAGTTTATGCCAAATTCTGACCCTGCTATTCAAATGTAACAGAAAATACTTGCAAACTAGAAAACTTAGCAAGCATAAATGTATTTTTCCTTCTATTGTCCAAATTTGGTGATGTGATTTGATGTGCTTTGGGTTCAGAGATGGATTTCTGCAGTCCTCATCATAATGAGTTTTATTTTGAGTTATTACAAAAGTATCAGGATTAATATCAGACTAACAGAATATTTACTTAAATTATTAAATAATAATAATAATAATAATAATAATAATAATAATAATAATTATTATTATTGTTATTATTATTATGATGAAAACTTCTAAGCATAAATAAGTGTATACTCTCTTTTTGAATTTTTTTTTTTTATTTCTCAGTGGATATAGACCATATTATTTGGTGAATTTATACAAAACAGTGTATTGTGTAAATAAACAGTTATATGCATTTAAAATAAGAGTTTGATCACTAAACATCTTAAAAATAGAAAGATAATACATTTAAATGCAAAATGAGTTGCAAAACTACAAAATTTCTACTAAATTTATCCCTCTCTTAATTTTATTTACAGTATTACAATTTTAATGAATATTTCCCCTCATTTTTAGACTGATATTATTTTTATTTACTTTTTTTTTATAATTTATTTATTTTTTTACAGTTTTGGCTTTTGGTATTGACTAATCTAATGTATTCACAAATACATTTTTGCATTTATGAGTATATTTTGCATTCATGAATTTATGCTGAGCATACATTTTGGATGATTATTATGTACTATGGTCATCCAGCTCTAATATGCCAACAGTATAGTGTTTTTTTTTTTTTTTTTTTTTTTTAAGATTTATTTTTGGTCTTTTTGCCTTTATTAGATAGGACATTATTGAGACAGGGAGCGAAGTGGGAGAGAGAGAGAGGGGGTAGGGTAGGGAAATGTCCTCGGGCCGGGATTCGAACTCGCGACGCCCTGATGTGCTATTGCACCATATGTCGGCACGCTAACCACTAGGCTATTGCGCCGACAACTGTATAGTTTTGAAGATAGTATGACATTGTAAATATTGCCATCATGAGTTTATGTTTATGTTTAGGTCTTGTAGTGAAAAATGCTAAACAAATAATCAATAAATGATACACTTTTACTCACTGTATCCTTTTCATAAAGTCTAAAAACAAATGTTTGAAACAAATAATAAATTATTTAATTATATCACACAGAAATGCCAACTGGCCCAGCTGGAGCTCGAACTAGGGACCTTCTAGCTGTGAGGCGACAGTGCTAACCACTGAGCCACCGTGCCTTATTTATTTATATAATTCTGCAATGAGCACTATTTGTTTGAAATCACTCCTTTTGTGGTTAGTAGACAAGAATAAAGCATGTTTTTGTAACTAATGTAACTTGGTCTGTTTGTTACCTTGGTCTGTTGGTGCTTTTTAGTCTGTTTTTACTTTGCTTAAAACCATTCAGAATAAGAGCAGTCCACCATAACCACACACCGAGTCATTAAGAGATTCTCTTCAGGCTAACATGTTTGAGTCATTTACGTGGCACATCACAAGCTGCATATGGTTGTGAGAGCATTCAATCTTCCGTGGTAATGGGAGTCTTCAGCCAGGGAGGAGGCTCAAATCATGGTTTGGCAAATCCATGCCAGCATATCAGACATCTGTCACTCCTAGCGGCCGCCTGCCGTGCTGGGAACTGTTCCTGGCAGCATCTCTAGCAGATATCCCAAAATGTCTTCGACATGCACGACTTAGCCACAGAATTTATCCTCGACCTCCTGTGGCAAGCCATAGATCAGCCAGAACTTTTATTAAGTTTAGCTAGCAAACATATTGACTTGCAACACTCAATGTGTAGTGTGACGACAGACTGAGGCAACACTGTTAATCACTGCTTGAGGACAAAAAAGTAAAAAATACATGATTATATGCGAGGATATTTTGGATGGTTTTGTTCACACAACTTTTTGAAGAGACAGTGTATAGTGTCGAATACAGATGAAGCATCTCCAGTTGAGCAGCAGTTTTCATTTTGTTAATGGGCACCATAATGGTAACACAATTTTGTGTATATCATGTTTTGAAGAGGGGTCTTGTCATAGGTTGTGGAAAGCAAAAGCAACATGCTCACTGCCACAAAAAGCCTTTTTAAATAGTTTGTACAAAATGTGTAATCATGCTAGTATTTACAGTAAATGTTGGTAGTGGTAAAAGTGGTAAACTAAGTTTTAAAGATGTAAAACCTACCTCGCTTCAACCATACCTCGCTTGAAAAGGATGATTTGGCAGGTCCTGGATCTTTCAATCTTGATAACTGATCTCTGGCTTATTTAGTTTAAGTTCACAAATCAGATTAAAATGTCTGCATGAACTGATCTGAGCTCTATCAATCCTCAAAAATCATAATCAGCAATGCTGTGATAAGCGTAATGACATGATCTGATTAATATTCAATTATCTATGTGAGCAAAATAGCATAATATTTGTAGTAAAGTGTTTGTTAAATATGAAACGCAATAACTTCACCTTTGTTGTGGGCTGCAGGCTTTACACTTTCATTTTCATTTCATTTTGTTTTATTATTATATATATATATATATATATATATATATATATATATAAGAACAGAACCAAAAACCACCCACCTATACAGAGTCTAGACACCAACAAGATGTCCATATAAACACACACACACAGCACAACAAACAAGCGAAACGCAGCATCACGCTGTCTGATTCACACACATACATACGCATGCTCGCTCGCTCGGGAGTCAGGAGCGATATTGTTAGACCGCCTGCTCCCATCCAAATTTAAACCAGATACCAACCGCTCTCGCGCTTTGTTCGGACATTTATTATAAATTTATATTAATATAATGCAGACCTCTACGCAGAAGTATAAATCAGCCTTTACATTAATCATTCATTCATTCATTTTCTTGTCGGCTTAGTCCCTTTATTAATCCGGGGTCGCCACAGCGGAATGATCCGCCAACTTATCTAGCAAGTTTTTACGCAGCGGATGCCCTTCCAGCCGCAACTCATCACTGGGAAACATCCACACACACACATCCACTATGACTTACACTACGGACAATTTAGCCTACCCAATTATTCACCTGTACTGCATGACGAGGTTCGAACCAGCGACCCAGCAACCTTCTTGCTGTGAAGTGACAGCACTACCTACTGCGCCACTGCCTCGCCCTTGCATTAATCAACTGAAATCTAACATACATGGCTAAATTGTTACGTTACACCATTAACTACTTCTCTTAAATGTCTAAACTCATTACATTCTTAATTGAAACATCCATTAACCTATTAATATAAATGAAATACAGACACCAATTTAACTAGCGTGCAATCCCAACTGTCCAACACCTTACCTTATGACCTCACTGCTTTTCATTACCAATCGACGGCCATTTGTCTATAGTCTAAAACAGTCAATTAGCAGTTAAGAATAGACACGGATAACTGGTAGTGACCTTTGCTCTTTTTGCAAATGTCAGTTGATTGCATTAATTCCCATCAGACTCAAAGCATCGACCTTAGTGCATCGTCCGTCACAGTAAATACATTGCGGTGTCACGATAGCTGTCTCTAATGGACAATTCCACGCTGGCCTAGAAAATGCAGTTTGTTTCAAGTCCGCATGCAGCAGGTTCACTTTCCTTATCTGGAACTCTCTCCACCTTCATTTTGCAGTTGTCAGCAGTCCAACCACACCTCCAAACCCCCAAATGATTTTGGCAGCTGGAGCAACGCACGAACGCCACAGCCCGAACATTTGAGGTGATTACTAATAGAGTTTATTATTGCCGATTTGGCAGGTCATTCAGGTGTTGCGGCAAATTTCCAGTGGCAATGCCCTGGGTTGTTGCTGTTGCTGTGTGTGTGTGGAGGTATATGCAATATCTCTGTACCCACATAAGCAAACAAAAAAAAGCCTCACCCAGAGAGTTGGCCTCACACAGACTACCTGCTGCCTTTAAATTTGGGCCAAAAAGCCTTTGAACAGCTCTGTTTTGACAGTTGAATGTGCCCAAGCTTCTTAGCAGCTCCTGGGTTTATTTCCCCGAGGTGGCAGAGACAGAAAACACAGATATTTCAAGTTAAGTGAGCTATTAAAAGGGCTATTGTTGGGAATTAACCCTTTTTGCGAATATAAAAACTGTAATAAAGAGCAAATGGGGGAGGGGAGGATAGGTTAAAAGCATAAGTGATTTGATATGTAGGAACACAAAAAGCTTTGGCACCCTCTGGTGTTAACTTTATTTTCTCTGTTGATCCTGTTTTAGCACAGCTCGGCACGGCAAACAAAGGCTCCCTGGTGTTATGTAGCTATTACTTGATTAAAAGCCCAACATGGTAATTCCCAGCGGCACGGATCCAAGTCTCGGACTTCACAGATATTGCGGTGACATGCTGGAGATATAAGCATAACTGAAAGCCCTTTGTGCAGCTGCAAGGCTTTAGTATCATGCTCTGAAACGGCTTCAGATTTTTGGTGGTGTTGTGAGGAAGGAAGAAAAAAAATCTATATTTAGAGCACTTTGAGCATGCATTTACTAAACTGTTATGTGCATTTTTCACTAGCCACCCACAATCCATTTGAACCAGGCGCTTAATGCAATAGACCATTTTCAGAGGATGTGATGATGCTATACAGTACACAAAACTGCTTCTAATCTTTTTCTTTATTTATTTACTGAACAAACTGGGATTTTTGCGTTTAAATAAATCCATTTTTTAGTACAGTGTTTATAGGGATAAAAACATCAAAAGAAATTGCCATGAACTATATAGAAAGCCCTAGTATGTTTGCATTGCTGTTTGTTTTCTGGAAAAAAAGTATTCTAAATGAGTTGGCATAGTTGAACCAGATTTTGGTAAAAACCCAAACAATACAAACATAAAAATAAAACAAAACAAACTAATCTGAAAAAATTGTGCAATTATTAAATGACACCCAGATAATGTACTAAACAGCTGAAATGTATTTAATATTTTATATAAAAAGGCTTTTTTATGATGTCAGCTTAAAGACGCCTCTCATATGGACAATAAAGTCATTTATTGCTCAGGTGGGATTTTTTTTTTCACAGACTTTTTACAGAGTGTAAAAATCTTGATGGTTCTGTGGGTCTCGTCTATCAAATCTAATCTTTATTTTGTATTTTCTATTGGATTCAAGTCAGGTGGCTGGCTGGGCCATTCTATTTTCTTTCCCTGAAAGCATTTGTTATCTTGGCTGTGTTTTGGATCATTGTCTTGCTGAAATGTCCACTGTTTTTATCTTCTAATCCTGCTAATGTAGTTGTTGGACTGAAGCAGCTAATATTTGAGGAAGGGCAGAGGGTTGCTAAATAACTACTGAGATTTCAGCTGTCTGGGCTTTCATTGCCTTTTTTACACCTTCCTTTCTTCATGTGTTCAACACAATTTTTCCCTGTGTTATATCTTTTTACACATGACTTAAATTGTGAACTAATAAAAATGTTTTCTTTGCATATATGGATTTCTTTATTTGCTATCAACATTTGGTAAAGATTTCAAGTCAATAGTACCATTACAAATATGTTTTGAGAAAAATGGTAATGTGTTAAATACTTATATACACCACTATATACACGAATGAACGAACGAACGAACGAACGAACGAACGAATGAATGAATGAATGAATGAATGAATGAATGAATGAATGAATGAATAAATTTATTTAACAGGGACATGCACAAAAATTACATTAACCTCCAAAAGGAAAGATGCATTGTGCCAGGTTGTAGCAGGATTGCTATTTTCCATTTGCAGTCCCTGAACAGGTAAACATTAAGACAATAATACCCAATTAATTAAAAAGTCAGTTTAAAACTGCATAAGGCATAATTGCATCTAAACTAAAACACTGACAAATCAAAAAACATCTCACTCAGTGTGTACAAATTTGATTTGAAACGCTTCCTAGTCAGGCGTGAAAACATCTTATAATTGTACATGTGATCATTTCTGTTGGGAGAGAATTCCATAGATTTGTTGCTTTATAAATAAAAGATTGACCAAAAGAGATTTTATGTTTAGGGACAATACATTCCTCTCTTTCCATAGAACCTGTCATCTGCAATGTTTTCTGTACATAATTGCTTCCATAACTTGCTTTTATGAAAAGTTTATTTAAACGTGTAGTTTAGATAATTAAGGCATTACTGACAGGTTAAAATTGGCTATATATATACAGGCTAAATATAGGCTAATGTTATGCTAATATTTAAAGAAAGGGTTGGGTGCCATGCCGCCTTTTTAAAATCGTAGATTTTCGTACAGCTGAACTCGTACAAATTAGCTTCTAAACTGATAAAACGCAAAATAGTTACGTTTTCTCACAGCATCAGGCTGAAAAACTGTCAAACCAGACAATTAAAAGCATTGCTATTTGCATTTCCTAATAAAATGCACATGAAAATGGAACTTGAAGAAAAAATATAAGTTCTTGTTACTTTATTAAACATGATTTGCATCTGGTATATTTTATCATACATCAACTCAGATAGCCTAATTTTAGGAAATGGCTGATACTGAGATTTAAGAATCAATATTGCTTTGTTTAAACGAAGAAGAAAAAAAAAAAAACAAGAAGTTTCAAATTAAGTTCCACCCACGCAGTGCTTATAACAAGACTGTTTGTTCTGTGCACTTGCACCAAGCTGAACACAATGAAAAGTTTTGCCATCTATGATGATTTTGCCTGAAAATGTGAAACCTCTTTCCTAGCTTTGGCACAATGAGTATTCAAATTCTTTTCTAATGCTAATGTGCTACCAGTCTATGTAAATTATGCTTATAATACAGGGGTCTCAACACTCTGTTCTGGAGGGCCGATGTCCTGCAGAGTTTTGTTTCAACTTGCTTCAACCTACCTGGCAGTTTATCTAGTGAGAGCTTGATTAGCTGCTTCAGATGTGTTAAATTAGGGTTGGAGCTAAACTCTTACAGACCCCGGCCATCCAGGACCGAGTTTGGACTCCCCTGTTATAATAGATGCTACTGGGTATCTATAGTAGGCCAGATCTCTGGTCCTCTAGTCTATTCAACCAAAACTCTTAACACTTCAAAATGTTCATAATTAGATCCAAACACAGTATTAATCAAGTCCTATGGACTTCAAGTCTTATGAATAAGTTTTATTATATGATGAACTGATTTAATTTGATTTAAACTTTTATTCACATGTAAACATTCAGTAAACGAATACATCAAACATACCTATTCGATGTGAGTAAAAAAAACCTCATGTGGCAGAAGCAAAGCTGTGGTTCTCGCTCATCAAGCAATCATATATATATTTTTTTCATTTTGGAAGAACAAACATCTGAAATCAATGCTGGATTTTGAAATGTATCTGTTTTCTGAATAAAATTATATGAGGCTGGGTAGATCGTTACAGAATTTTCATTTTGGAATGATTTTTTTTTACATTTTTATTAATATAGAGACCTTTAGAATTTTAATTTTGGGAGGGACTCATTTAAATCACACATAATTCCACAAAATTACAGTCAGTTCAATTATTTATTCATTCATTAATTTTCCTTCAGCTTAGTCCTTTTATTTATCTGGTGTCGCCACAGCGGAGTGAACCGCCAACTTATCCAGCATATTTTTTACACAGCAGATGGCCTTCCAGCCACAACCCTGTACTGGGAAACACCCATACACTCTCGCATTCACACACATACATATCGGCCAATTTAGCTTATTCAACTGACCTATACCAAATGTCTTTGGACTGTGGGGGAAACTGGAGCAACTGGAGGAAACTCGCATGAACACGGGGAGAACATGCAAACTCCACACAGAATGCCAACTGACCCAGCTGGGGCTCGAACCAATGAACTTCTTGCTATGGAGCGACAGTGCTAACCACTGAGCCACCACACTGCCTAGGTTTAATAGTGAGCATAAACATACTTGAGTCTTAACATCAGTGTGCTTGTAGATTGCTTGCATCTGTTCTCCTTGGTATCATGCTCTCGTAAACTGAGGCTAATTATTATTTGTCAGAACACAGCGTGCTTGTACAGACCACTGCCCTGTGCCCATCCAAGGTGATCGCGGGCTGCATTTAATTGGTGGCTGCGAGCATGGCTCTGGACCCTCTGCTGAGAGCAGCATGTGATATGGCTCTGCCACGTTTGCCCTGTCAACCAAGCCATCCAAAACATTCCCGACAGATCCAAGTTTTCATCCTTCAGTTCCTAGGTGGCATTCATCAACCTCTAAATGAGAGGATGAGACACAACACTTGACTGATGCGATTTCGCATGCTGCGACTGTGGGCTGCATGTGACGCTGCAGCAACACCGACCAGCACCACACATGTGGAGTGTTAAGTTTTTTTTTTTTTTCACAGATTATGCTTCAGTTTTTTCTGGGAATTGTAGTTTTATTTTAATAGGTGTAGGGTTAGGGATAATTATTTTATAGTATTAAAAAAATCAAGCGTAATCAATTTCAATTATGTAATAATTACATTAAAGTTACAATTAACAAGATGTAAGATAAGATACTGGTATCTCCAGAATGTGATGTGTCTATAAAGTTTTAGCAGTATATATCTATATCCATCCATCCATCCATCCATCCATCCATCCATCCATCCATCCATCCATCCATCCATCCATCCATCCATCCATCCATCCATCCATCCATCCATCCATCCATCCATCCATCCATCCATCCATCCTATAGTCAGTATATTTTTTATAAAATATAAAATATGCCCATTTTGATGTCT